CTCTCTATTAATGTCTTGATGTCTTGGTTTGTTGCATATGACCAGTCATTCTGGGGGCTCTTCATTGTTTGTGTTTCAGAATCTGTTTTCTCAGTATCTGATCTCCAAGGGGACTGTGTGAAACCTTTATTCCTCTTTTGGTTTTTCTTCATTTGTGCAGTTTCCCCCCACCTACCTTTTCCTTCCCTCCATGTCACCGTCTTCTTTAATTCTGTTATTCAGGGGTGGAGGGGTTGTTTTTACTTCTGTTTGTTCAATCTCCTATTCTTCTTTATGTATGTCCTCTTACTTTGTTCAATTCTGGAGTTGCACTGTAGGTTGTAGGTGGTCCTTTTTGCAGTTTTGAGATTTACTTAACGGGGAAGCTGTGATTCATAATCTATCTGCAGATCCTGGTATCCACCCACGCAGGCGCAGAATCCGCCACAGGCTGGGAAGCTAAGCAGGGTTGCTCCGGTGAGCAGTTGGATGGGACAGCTTCTTACAGACAGGAATAAAGCCTTGTTAACTAAATTTCCACCACTTCCTAGTTACAGGCTAGTAAGGTGCGTTTGTGCTGAGGTTCTATCCTTAGGTCACCAGGAAATATGTATATGTGTGTGTGTGTGTGGGGGTATATGTAGCCTTTAATTTTTTTTCTTTTGAGTTGGCTTAATAGTCTTTAATCTGAATGGTGAATATCACAATGTTTATAAATGTAATATAGGTATGTAAGGTTGAACAGAATCTTTCCATTTTCTAAAAACTAATGATTGACCAAAGCCCCTAGCTGAAAAGAAATAGTGCTAACTATCCCATATTCCATTTCTAGAACATCTCTATTTGAGAGGCCTAACACCTCCTTCCAGACAGCTGTCATTTTATCTAAACTGATACTAACTGACTTTCACACATACTAATAAAGAGAGATATGTGGAATTGAAATCATCTTGGGAAACAGAATTGCTAGAGTGTCAACATTCCTTCTTCATCCCTTCTTATATAAGTGTGAATGTGTTTGGAGTGGGCATTACACCTGCCTCTAAGCCTATTTCCCTTGTCATTCCAATAGTGATACATTGGTTAACTGCCCTATGCCCTCATTTTTCTAAATGGAGAATTGCCCTTTATCTGACAATTGTTAAGTCACTGAACTGCCAGGAAGGTGTGGGTGGACCTTTCTTAATGGAGTCCAGATATTTGGGACCTGTGGGTTTTTAGCAATTTAGTCATTCATTGGATTTCCTTCATTAATACAGTGCAGGTAGATGTCAACATTTATAATCTCATCACCTTGAAGAAAATGGCCTGGTTTCAGAAATGTAAGGTTGCTTAAGGAAACGGGCATGGCTCTGTTTTCATACTCTTCTGATTTGTTGGCGGACCAAAGTTATAAGAACGAGAGAAGAAGAAAGTGAATAAATCCAGTGTCACTCCTAGACTCAACTCCTACTCTATTATTTTTCAAAATAAAACCTGAACCATCTGCATCATTATCATATGGCAGGTTTGTTAACAATACAGATTCTTGAGAATTTCTGGAATTTGGGAGAATAGATGCTAGGAACCTGCACTCCAAATGATATTTGTCTATGATCCTGATGCAGTCTAAACTTCAAGACATCATTATCCTATTCTCTCATGGCTTTACTATGTATTTTTTAAATTTACTTTTTTCTTGCTAAATTTAGCTTTTTGTCCTCCTCAAGTAAAAGCTTTAGAAATGTCATTAGGGCAGGACATTCACTGGGAGCTGATCTAATCCAATCTTCTTTTTATGAGAGGAAAAAGACTATTCAAAAGATATGTCCACATTTTGCTTCTGATTCTTTTCTTGATTATTATTCTATGTTTTAGAGACAGAGTGAATACTTAATAAATATTTTAATTAATACATTTATTAACTTTGATATAGAAGTTTTCCATATGCAACATTTCAGAAGCACCATTGATCATAAAAAATATATACTTTGCTTATGTTTTTTAGAATACAAGTATTTATGAAACACCTAATAAAATTAATATCTGAGATATTTTTGAGATGAACTTAGCTGAAAAGAATTCAGTTCAATTGAAAAAACTTCAAAGAGCAATAGCATCACTAAGAACTCTATTTGTAATAATTCTAAAAATGTTCAATGAAATCTGTCAATAACAATGAATAGTATTGCAAACATTAATTAAGTGGCTTTTCTAGAGCTATAATATAAGTATTTCTATATCAGAGACTAAGACCCTTGAGGAATCTGTGAAGCAAAACAGAAAATGAACAAATAATGAATGCTGTTTGGAAAATATAGTATAACATTACATCAAAGACAATTCTAAATTGGATAACAAAGAAGGTTTCACTGAATAGCATTTGCAAAGTTTACTACCCAGAGAAATGAATGATGGGTGGTTTAGACTGAAGAAAAATAAGAGCAAATGTCAGATGTGATAGGAGCAAATGTCAGATGTGAAGAGCCATAGCCAGTACTGAGAACAGAGGGGCCTAGGGTGTGAGGGACACAGAGACAGGAGATAAGCATGTTTCAAAGTGCTTGCAGTAGCAAACAATTCTTAAATAAAACTAAATTAAATACAACTTACCCATAAAAGTATTTTATTGTCTCTCATAAGAGGCTGCTCAGAGATGAGGCAATCACGACTTTTTTCAGCAACTCAAAGATGACTCAGATCTAAGTCCTTTTCATTTTATCCTCTGCTATCATTAGCATGTTTGTTATTTCTCCTTAATTAGTTATATCAATAGCCCCCAAAGGGATGCCAAAGTTCCAAGTGTTATATTCTGACAGCAACATTTATAACAGAAAAAAAAGGTGTGTTTCTTTTCTTGACTCTCTCTTTACAACTAAGAGAATTCTTCCATTTTATCCAGAATTGGATCACATGTTCATTTCCAAAAGAATTCCTGGTAAAGATAATGGAAAACCATTAATTAACATTTCAGTTAGAGACATAACCTCCTCTAAAGCACAAAGCCATCAGATATCTGAGCTAATTTGGAATTCTGAGTTCAGGGATGAGATTAGTCTTAGGGTAAACAACCTACAATATCTTCTATATGTATGCTAGGAACAGACATATGTTTCTATCATCATTGAGTTACTAAAATGTAACAACCTTATTAATAACACATTTGAATATATTTAACAGTGTCAATGGAAAGTATTAACTAAGCTTTTGGCCATAAACTTCCCTGTCATAATTGGGAGTCTTACTCATAGGTATAAGCAGTGTTTAATAGGCAAACATTTAGGGAAAGTGTCAAATGTCTGTTTTGAATTATAAATATGCTTCCTGATATGTTTTCTGCATATAAGAATATTTAAAAGTGTTACTTTTAAATTATTGCATCCCAAGAAGATTTTCAAAGCCAATTATGTGAGTACAGAATGATTTATTTAAAAATATATATCAATTGTGTACAGTGTATCTGTGTACGTATGTATCTTCATGCACCAGAAAAAAAGAGAGAGTGATCACAACTCTAAATATGGAAGGTTAATCTACACACATTTCATTGATTGACCCTGAAATGGGAAATTTGAATCAGCTATTTTCTTATTACACTTTTTATGTGACTCTGAAGAATACACCTGCACTAAGTTGAGAGTGTAAACACACACACACACACACACACACACACACACACACACACACACACTATTTTTCTTTTACATTTCCTTTACATTTCCCTGTCTCCTTTTCTTTTCCCTTCCTCCTTCTTTCTTCTTTCTCTCCTTCTCCTCTTCCTCCTCCTCCTTCTTCTCCTCCTTGCGCAACAATCTAATGGAGATCCAAGTTAAATATTTCATCCAGTGCTCACAACCAAAACCACAAGCACAAGCACAACTGCACAAATCAATCAAAGAAACAGAAAAAACAGTTTCTGAGCTGGGGGTTAAAATCATTTGTTGTACCTGTTGAGAAATTATATTATTATGCTTCAAAATGATACTAAAATATGAAAGTGATGTAAGATATTTTTAAAGGTAAGAAATTAATCTTATAACTTATAGTCATTTTAGGTTTGAATACATTTACACTGAGGGCTGCTTACACAAGAGCAGTAGTGTCACTTTTACGACCTGCATGTTACCCGGAAAAAACTCTATCCCAGGCAGGATAGGGAACTTAAGTAATAATCTGAAGTTTTGGAGCTTGACATAAACAGAACAAAAAACTTATAACCTGTATTTTTTTTATAACAAACTGTTTCTGCTTCATACAGTCATATGCTGGTGAATGATTGGCAACATATAGAACAGTAGTCTCATAACATTATAATATCATAGTTCTACTGTATCTTTTCTGTGTTTAATTATGTTTAGATACATAATACTGGTCACTGTGTTACAGATGCCTACAGTATTCAGTACAGTAACATGCAGTAAAGACTTGTAGTCTAAGAGCAATAGGCTATACCACATAGTCTAGGTGGGTAGTAACCTTTATCACCTAGGTTTCTGGTAAGAACATTCTATGGTATTCACACAATGATGAAATCTCCTACCAGCACATTTCTCAGAATGTATCCTCCTCATCATTAAGTGACTCATGACTATTTTTGCATTTAGTGCTTGAAAATACTTGAAACACAGAATGAAATGAGAAACAGTGTTGAAAATTGATATGTAGCAATTACAAGTTTAATGTTTGGACACTGTGGTGTTAATAATGGTGAAAAGATAATATGGTACCTTTTCAAATACCTGGACTTTGATTCATAACTATTCCTAGGCTATTGATTAATAATCCTAATAATATACAGAAAATACTATGACATGAAACAAGTTTTTTGGTTTTCTTTTTCAATGGACTCTGGGGAGACCCCATTGGTCAGAATTAAATGTTTTGAGAAATGATGAGAATAGTGAATCTGAAGCTTATACTCATTCTGATTTCAGTGATAAGCATGTCATCTGTAACTTTCAAGAGGACTAAATTACAATATCAAGTTATCTAATTCATCTGATATTCAAATAATCTGAAGTTTTTATCTTTAATATTTGCAGACATCCAATGACACCTTTGAAATTCCTCTAATGTTGACTGGAAATGTAGTGTTAAGGAAGAGGCTCAACTATGAAGATAAGACTCACTACTTTGTCATCATTCAAGCTAATGTGAGTAACGAATATCTCTTTAATTCTCCTGTAAGATTATAAAATAAAAACTTGTCCAAAATATATCATACATTTTGGTATAATTCATTTTCTCTTTAGGCACCATTACTCTTGGTGGTGTTTGTATATTACAGTCTTCTAGATGGGGAAAGAGATGAAATAGAATTGTTTTCACTCACTGTATTCTTCACCCTCTAAATCACTTCACCCTCTAAATCACTCATCACATATTTCCCATACTCCAATCATTTGACTTTAGCTTATACTGAAGTATTTATCAAAGTATGATCCACCAAACAACTGCAGTAGAATCACTTTGGTAGCATATTAAAAATAGAGATTTGGGTACCCTACCCCAAATGTCCTGAATAAAAACCTCAGAGGAATGTCAGCATTTTTAGTTAGCTCCTCAGGGGATTCTGAAGTACATCGAAGGTACATAACCACTGACTAATTGGTAATCTTTTTCCTCCTGGCTATTATTTATTAAATTGTTGCTCACTAGATGTCACCTATCATGCCCACGACTGAAGTTTATGGTAATGTATGTAGTTGACAACAATAACAGAAAAATTTGAAAAACAGTTGCTTATACAATGTGGGCATTGATTGTCGTTATTAGTATTAGTTTAATAAAACTACTGGAATTATGTGGCTCAAAGTTTAGTTTGTCAGCTCAGTTATGTTACCAAGGATTTGATTTTTTCATCCTTATAGTCCTCTCTTCCCTGAAACTTGGCTATTTTTTCTAGTGCCTTATCTGCTGAGAATGAGTTGAATACCACAGCCATTATGCATCACAACTACATTTCAATTCTGAATGTAAGCAGGTGGAAAGAGTAGTAAAACTAAAACCCATTTTATGTTTGTTGATTCCCCCTCATTTTATATATGAATAGACTCTATTCAGAGTTCTTTCTGCCCAACTTCTCTTTACAGAATTGGATCGCATGAGCCACATAGCAGAAAGGAAGGAAGTCTGTATGTGTCGAAATGGAATGAGATAGTCACCTGGATTACACCACTTATGGCTCATATATTGGGACTAGCCACACTAATTACTTGAATTTTTTTTTTAGCAAAAATAAGAATGGGACTAACATTTGAGCAAAAAAAACTATCAAGGCCCATCATAGATAGTTACTAACATTGAAGCAGTCCCACAATAAGTGACAGTTTCATTCTCTAAAGTAGCAGTTAGGAAATAAGCTATCAAGCCATGAAAAGATATGAAGAAATCTTAAGTGCACATTTCTAAGCAAAAGAAACCATTATGAAAATGTTACTTACTGTACCATTCCAATACATGACATTCTGGAAAAGGCAAAACTATGGAGATAGATATAAAAATCGGTGAATGCCAGAGGTTGGGTTGTTGAGGGAGCAGATAGAAAGGAATGAATAGAAAGTTCACAAAGGATTTTTAAGGCAATTCAAATATTTTGTATGGTACTATAGCGGTGGATTCATTTTATTACACATTTGTCCAAACCCATGGAATGTACAGCACCAAGAGTGATCATTAATGTAAACTATTAACTTTGGGGGATTATGATGTGTTAATGTAGGTTCATCAGTTGTAACTAGTATACCACTCTGATGAGAGATGTTGATAACCGAGGAGGCTATGTGTGTGTGGAGACTAGAGTTTATGTGCCTTCTTCTCAATTTTGGGATCAACGTATTGCAATACTTTTGAAAATTTGCCAAAATTAAAATAATATATGTATCTTAAAAGTATACATATATATATACACACACACATATGTAAATACATATAGATATACATTTATATATCTATAAATATATATGTGCCTTCCTCTCAATTTTGGGAATGATGTATTGCAATACTTTTGAAATTTTGCCTAGATTAAAATAATATATGTATCTTTTTTTTTTTTTTTTTTGAGTTGGAGTCTCACTCTGTCGTGCAAACTGGAGTGCAATGGCCGCTCCTGGCCACCGCAGCCTCAACCTGCTGGGCTCCGGCGATCCTTCCTCCTCAGCCTTCCGAGTAGCCAGAATTACAGGCGCGTGCTACCACGCCCGGCTAATTTTTTTATTTATTGTAGAGATGAGGTCTCGCCTGCCCAGGCGGGTCTCGAACTCGCGGGCTCAGGCAATCCACTCACCTCAGCCTCCCAAAGGTGCGGGATTACAGGCTGAGCCACCGAGTCTGGCTAATATATGTATCTTAAAATTATATATATATACACACACATATGTAAATATGCATAGATATACATTTATACTATTTTCTTAGAGTAATTCAATTTTTAATAATTCATGTTTAAACAATAAATCGTGAGGCCTTAAATGACTTATGAAATGCTGTAATGATATCACAATGTACTCCAAGCATTAATCTAAGTACTCTTTTGTTTGTTAACTTATTAAACTTCATCAGAATCCTAACAGTATTCCAAAATAATAGACCTTATTTAAAAAAATAAAAGGTAGTTAGTCTCTGAAGCAGACTCTGACTTTGACAACTCCTAAGCATTGTAATCTTTGTAGTCTTACTCAGAGAACACAAAGCAAAAATATCCTCAATCAGCTGTTATGAGCAAGTTCATGTGCAACAAGATGTCATTTTCTTGTATTTCACCTAAAAGAAAGTGTGTATGTGTATAGATAGATATATAATTAAATATATGTAGATAAAGATATTAATTTAATTTTTGAAGTCAAATTTATAAGCTTGTATTCAGTTTTCTTCTTTTTTAAACTACATATTTATTTATTATTGTTATTATTTTTTTTACTTTTTATATCAAGTGGAAGATACCAGAGTGAAAAAATGCATATGTGGGAAAATGTAAAATTAGAGGTCACTCAGGGGTCCTGAAAAACACTAAATACTTTTTTTTTCTATTTAAGTGAAGATGTGAAGAAATGGTACAATTTCCCTTGAATGACTCAATATCTGTAAAACAACTAACAAAAAAGTTAGATTGCAATAGAACACATTTGTAAGCTAGTTGTTTTATTATGCTATTTAAAATGAGCTGATTTTAAAAACTAGAAATGCAAGATAAAAGATTCTGAATTGCTGTCTAATTTTTTTAAAATTTATAATGACATCTGGAACAATTTGTATCCATTTTGATAGTTCACTCCTAACTGAGGTAGTGATGAGTTTTTACCATTTCAGGGATTAAAAATTGTAAAATAGACGAATATATGTGAATCATCAAAAGGAAGGTAAAGGATTGGAAAGAAGTAGAAAGAGATCAACATTTATTTGTAACAACAAATTTTTATTACAAATGTAAATCATACAGTATAAAATGTAAATGTTAAATACAGAATTTTTTTAGTGTTTTAAAAAGTTTTCAGAACTACATAATTTTAATATATTTATAATATACCAAAATAAGGACACCTCACAGTTGATTTAACTATGCTCTATTTTTGTTTGCTTGTTTGTTTTAGGTGCCAAATTTGTAGCTTCCCTCACAACTCTGATAAGGGGCAGTGAGTGTACTACAGTAGTAAAAGCATGAACTCTGGAACCATGCTGCCTGAGTTCGAGTCCCAGTTCTTCCATTAATTAGCTGTGTAACTTCAAGCATTTTTTTCTGTATTAATTTCCTAACCAGTAAAATGGAGATATTAATAAAATATGCCACATAGGATTCTGGTGAACTTTAGCAAATTAGCAAACAAAAAAGTACTTATACTAATGCTTAGAGTATATTGTGATATAATTACAGCATTACATAGTCATCTAAGTCCTAACAATTTATTGTTTAACAATGCAAAATTGAATTACTATGTGATTATATACATGTATATCTATACATATATATTTATATATTTTTAATCATAGCAAATAACATATTATTTTCAAAAGTATTTCAACACATCACATTCCTACAAATGATAAAGGAGGCACATTTTAGTATAATTTCCATCTTTAGATATAAATACATAAAATATGTCTCAACTTTCTTTTCATATCTCTCCTAAGTTGTTATTGTTTTATTGGTGGTATGTAAACCAACGCTCTTTTACATTAAAAACCAATATATTCTCATACTGTCTTAGTTATTAAAATATGTGCAATCAATATTAACTTTAAATGCATGATCTCTAAAAAGCTAATTAGAAGTCAATGGCAAATGATTGGACATTACTCAGTTTTGACCTGATTTTTCTCATGGTACATGCTTTTGACTGATTTTTAAAGGGAACAAATCAAATTACATGTAGTTGAGAGGTTTCTTTTTATGTTTTCATTTTACACATTATGATTCCACATTAATATGATTGAGTTTTGACTAATCCATGTTAGAAAACTTGTCACTTGTTTTATTGAGAATTTTATTTGAGATATTATTGTCTATGCTGTTTACCTATAATATGGACACAATCAAAGAATGAATAATTCCAGACAAAACTGGAGTGGGTGACCTAGAAAAACAAGATCAGAAATGTACAAAGATTTTCCTTTTGTTGAAATTTACAATATATTTCACTACTATTTACTCCAATTTTTATGTTACCCTAATTCACAAAAGAATCAAACTCATCTCTTTACATGTAGATTTTCTTAAAAGTCAGCTTTCATTTGTATTACTGTTATCCTAAGTGAACTATTAAGGACATTCTGGTATTCAAGATTATTTAATTTTCCAAAAGAAAAAGTTTATATTTCATTACAGTCATAGCAAACTGCTTTTCAGAAATAATCACACTATGATCTTCCTTTACTTTTGCTTCCTACTCGCAATGTGGAATGTGTTAATTTTAAGCTCATTGATTGTAGCTCTCTCAGTTTATTGGACATTCCCTGGGGAATGAGAGTCATATGGAGGACAGAGGTTGATAGTTTAAGGGAACTAATATTTACAGAGTATTTGTCTAGTAAAGATATGTAGGAATGTGGAGGTGTCGACAAGTGTGCATAAAAATTAAGGAAAAATAGCTAGCTATCTTTAAAAAATGTTTGTTTTTTTCCAGGAGAAAAAAAGACCCCCCACTTCTAATTTGAGTTA